CTAGTAATATTTGACTTTTACACATAGAATTAATTTCCATCCAATTGATATCTAGATGACAGAAGTATCTGTAAAAATGACTTCATTGTGCAGGTACAGTGTTTCCAGGTTCTGGAACAGTAACAGGGCATAAAAATGATATACTGAACAGCAGCGGCTCAAACATAATGTTCCATCATTATTTATAGTTAAAGAAACACCTCTGGGAGAATGCGTCTGCACAGGGATAAGTGGCAGTGGAATAAAATGAAATTCTCTTCTTCAGCACAGAATAGATTGTACTTACAAATTAGTTCCATTTATCAAATTTTCCTGTGATGGCACAATCACTTTCAGTGTCAGTGATGTCATTGAGATTAATGGTGCCATTACTATCAATGGGATCTTACGATAAGTAGTCTTTTATTAAGGGTTTTGTTTTATACACATGTACCAGGCACCCCCAAATGTCCGTAGGGCTAATTATCACCTTTAGGCACATAAGAAGTCATATGATAATCATGGAGCTTTGGAGCATAATTTGCTTTTACTGGGCTGCTTACGAAAACCTTAGACATTACTTGCCCAGTCCCACAGCCCAATTTGATATATGAACAGAGTTTTACACCTCTATAAAGTAACTTTGCCACCTGTAAGAGGAAAGGTAGGTACAAGGCACGTGTAAGCTCCTTCATCCAAACAAGAAGTAATCGTGAGTCCTGGCACTACAATTGACAGGCAGATGTCTCCCTTCCCGTTGTTCCTTAAGAGACATCTGTTGATTTATGAAATTTACAGTACATCTCTGTTATCCTCACTGAGCGGGCTAGCCACTGACCAGCAATGCACAAGGGTGGTTAACAGCCCTGCCCCTGACCAGCATTGCACAAGGGTGGTTAACAGCCCTGCCCCTGACCAGCATTGCACAAGGGTGGTTAACAGCCCTGCCCCTGACCAGCATTGCACAAGGGTGGTTAACAGCCCTGCCCAGCATTGCACAAGGGTGGTTAATAGCCCTGCCACTGACCAGCATTGCACAAGGGTGGTTAACAGCCCTGCCACTGACCAGCATTGCACAAGGGTGGTTACCAGCCCTGCCCCCTGACCAGCATTACACAAGGGTGGTTAACAGCCCTGCCCCGCCCCTGACCAGCATTGCAAGGAGGGAGGGA